GCACGAGGCGGTGGGCTGGAGTGAGTTGCCGGGGGGGCGGACGAACTCGCTGCCAGCCGCCTGGGCTGTGGAGGGACGGCTGCCGTCCGTGAGGGAGCAAAGGAGTCGCCGCCGTTTGCCTGAGGCTGGAGCCTGCTGCCATCCACCATGATGGGGAGGAGCAGGGAACGAGGGACTCCTGCCGGCGGCCCGAACCCGGAGGAGCCATCGCCGTCCACCAAGGGCTATCCAGTGCCGCCGCCAGGCATTGCGGAAGAGTTTACCCAGCTGGTGGAGGGCCGAGCGGCAGTGTGTCTGGGAACCGGAACAAGATAAATATATATATTTTTTTCCCCTCTCTCCCCTCTCTCATCTCTGTCTCTCCTCATCCTTCCGTCTCCTTTTCTCTCGCCTCATCTGTCTGTCCTTACCCCCAAGTACGCCGTGGCCGCTGTGATCGGCTCCCCCGGAGGGGGGAGGGGGTGAGTATAGCGCAGTCTCGTGAGTACCCCCCGGCCTGCGAGGGGCGATGGGGGTATGTGACGAGAGGGGCGGGGCCGAGAGCCGTGGGAACAGAGCGAGGCCGGTGGAGTAAATGCTAATGCACGACACCTGCGCCACTCACCGGTCTCGAGTCCCATGGAGGAGCTCCGGAAGGATACGAGGAGGAGTGACGACAGTGTTGGAGGAGAGAGGACCAGGCCTGGACTTTATTTTGTGTTTTGTGTGCGGCAGTCGTCCGCGAGGGGCTGCCACTTTACTTTCGTTTTGTGTTTGTTTATTTTATTAAATTGTTTAAATGTCCGCCGGTTCCCGCCTCCTTCTTCCCGAACTACGAACGTTGTTACAAAGACCAAGACCATGAAGCCATGGTCTCAGACTCGAGATGGACTCAAGTACTACTGTAGGTTCTTAAGTGGCGCACGAAGTTTGGATATGCGGGGTACAAATGGGATTTGAAAGCTACAAGACCAGGTTTTTCAGTAAATAATAGTTTAACCCTGTGTATTTTCCTCACACAAATCAGAGGACTTAAAATATAGTGCACTAGGTGTAAAGACCACAATTATGGCGCCTGCATGTTCTTTAGACTTTCTCTCTTTGTATTAAGTGACGTCACATGTGGCCAAGTATGGTGACCCATACTTGGAATTAGTGCTCTGCATTTAACCCATCCAAAGTGCACATACACAGCAGTGAACACACACACAGCAGTGAACACACACACGGCGCCCAGGGAGCAGTTGGGGGTTCGGTGACTTGCTCAAGGGCACCTCAGTCGTGGTATTGAAGGTGGGAGAGAGCGCTGTACATTCACTCCCCCCACCTACAATCCCTGCCGGTACGAGACTCAAACCCGCAACCTTTGGCCACGACTTCCCCCAATATGCTTACAAGTTATTAAATATGCTTACAAGTAAAATGTAATTCTTGAAAATAACTTTCAGTTTTAATTCTAAGACAAACTGTCTGCTAATCATGCAGAATTGGTATTCAGCTCACAGTCAAAGCTAATCCAGTGTCACTTTAAGATGAAATATAGATGAATATGTTGTGTCCTGATGCCAGCTATATGACCATAAATGACCTTGAGAAAGTGGCCAGACTCTCTGGGGCTGCTTATGATTCCGGACGAAAGACAAATTGATTGTCTCCGTGCTTTCAGCATTGAAATTCAGCCACTGCATATCTTTAAAGAGCTTTAAAGTCATTGCTAATGCACAGTGTCCCTGTCTTTAAAAGACTGACTTGTTGATCAGGCTCCCCCAAGAGAATGTCTCAATTGAAAAAGGTCACATGTGTATAAAATGAAGGCACTTTCTGCTCATCAGGAATACAAGCCCCGCTCTGTCCCCAAAGTAACTGGATTTGAAACTGTAAAAAAAATGCATAAATAAATTTTGGCGTCAAGGCGGCTGACAACATCAAGTGCACTTGCCGAGGAGACTTTATTCTTAGGTTATAGCCGATTTTCCCGTCTCTTAGTTTTGTGCTGTTTCATATTGTGTGTGTGTTTTGTTTGGATCAATGCTTTTTCTAAATGTCACAAGTTCACATCCTGGAAATTGCTTTTTATCTCAGAGTGCATTTGCAGCGTTATTTTTGCCCAAAGCTTTACACTTTCCTCTGAGAACAGGAGTTATCAGGAAAACTGCCGGCTCCATTAATGTGAATTAGAGGTTATCGCGTGTACCGTTCGAATCAGAAGGGTCATCTCACTGTTGCGCTGTCGTTTAATATTTTTGTCATGAAATACAAATGCAAAGTCAAAAACACACTGCCGTGCAAATAAATTGATATTGACCAGCATATTTTATGTCACAGCGGTCTTTAAAGCATCCATCATGTAACTAATGATCAGTGCTATTTTCCATTCCTGCATTTCTTGATAAGGATCTTGCATTGTGTTTTGCTATGGCCGCTTCGTTTCCCAGCATGCGGCCCATCTTTGTTAAAGCCTGTATTAGAAGTCTCCTTTATGACAGGAAAGTGTGATAAGGCTTAGCTGGTGGTTCGCTCACCTGGAGCGAGAGGGTCTTTCTTTAATTTAATGACTGCTGGGGAAAATGGACAAGATGAGATTCACATCTTTCATTTTGTCTGTCTATGTTGTTTTTGCTAACACCAAGAAATAAATACTTGTTTGAGAACCGTTTCGGACAAAAGAACCATTTTCCCTGTCAAAGAGGTTTTCTCTTAAAGGAATGTTTTTGTCTGCTTTGCGTCAAATGTTCTGCTGTTTTCCATCTAGAAATGGGTCTCTACTCAACAAATGGGGAAAAATACAAATGGTTAGAGTATTACAGTTTAACAATTGGTGTGTGAATCAAGATGATCTTAAGAAAATTTGATAAAATTGTATGAATTAAACAGTATTGCAAACTAAAGGGTAAAAAAGCAGAATATGTCTCTGGATGTTTTTAAAAAGAAATATTATTATTTGCGTCTTGGCAGATGTGGTCACTATGAACTGTCATTGTGTAAAAAGGGTATATTGCATAAGGTTTTTCATTTTTGGGTGAACTAAGAAAAAGCATTGCAATTTTTAATAATTGGTATGTGAATTAGCATGAATTATTTTATTTAATCTTTTTTCTTTTTAACCTTGGCAGATGTGGTCACTATAAACTGTCATTGTATTAAAAACACACCAAGAAAAACCAATGTGTGTATCGGCAGCATAAGATTTTTCATTTGATTGAACTGTTTCTTTAAATATCCACATAAAAGTAGCAAAAATGTAGCAATAATGATCCCGCTATGAATATTTCCACATCTCTATGCAAAGAGACTAAATCTTTAGTCATATCCAGAAGGGAAATTAAGGGACTATGTTTCTGAAACCAAGCGAATACCTAAGGGAATTGTACAATATTAAAGAATGTCTCATACTGTATGATATCTTTCTCATTTTTCTGCCTTCTACAAACAATGCTGTTTTTACCTTTATCTTTCTTTTATTCTTTGAGATACAAGCTCTTTGTCATTGTCTTACAATGATTGGCATGTTTATTCTCTCTACCTGTTTTTGTTTTTTTCTGTGCTACAATCCTGCTGGTCTGCGGCATATGTGCCAGCTTGATTACTTGAATTTGTGAAGGTACTTACAACGGCAAAGTTTGATCCTTTCTTTCCTCATGCTTGAGATAGAAATGAAAGACAACAGGATGAAAAGATTCTCTCATAATGCGCTTTTTGAGACTACAGGACCATAGAATTTCTATTCATATCACTGTCGCTGTGGCTGGTCTCAGAAAAACAGGTTTTAAGCACTTCTTGTTCTGATATGGGGTTCTACATTTAGTTTTTACATTAATAATCACCATAAATGATTAATTGGTTATTATAAGGGAACCAGTGAAAACTATTACAAACTTGATTGTCATAAAATCTAATTTACATGAGGACATCGACCACCTCTACATCTAAATTATAATTAATCTACTCAGAATGGAACCCAAACCTCAAAGTGTAGATGTTTCTTCTAAAGAACATGAGAAGTGTATAGCAGATATAGTGGTGCATAATGGGTCACAAACCAAAAACGTTTGAGAATCCCTGAGGTAAAGTGGTATTAAACATGGATGAGGCTGTTGTGAAGAGTGTTGGAGTACTATCTGCTTGTCCTCTTCTGTGACAGGGCTGCGATCTCCCCGAGCAGAGCACGGTTCATGTGGTTCTGCCCCCGTCCACCTCGAGCCAGCACTCTGAGCTGGTCCAGCAGCACAGGCCAGGCAGGGGGATGGAGAGCTTGACCCGACTCGACCTCAGTGGCTCCCGTCTGACCAGCGTGTCTGAAGGCCTGGCTGTCATTCTGGAGACAGATGCGTCCAGACAAGGGAACTCCATTGGACATTCAGGTACAGGGCGTAGGTCTTTGTTTGTATTGTTTGAGTCATTGTAGATAAAATGTTTTTTAAATCCAGTGGCAGCTGATGCTTTATAATAGTGAAGAAGCACCAATGATGCTTCTTAATGGAACAATGTGTAGCTTTTTTTTTATCATTTGGTGTCTAAATGCTACTAAAGATGAAGTAATCAACATAGGCTCATTGAAAACAATGTGCTTCTATCTACTATACAAAAAAACTATGCATACAACTCACTGCAGTTTCCAACAGAACACTAGAAAGATTATCAGTTAAAGGAGTAGTTCACTTCCAGAACAAAAATGTACAGATAATGTACTCACCCCCTTGTTATGCAAGATGTTCATGTCTTTCTTTCTTTGTTTCTTCAATCGTAAAAAATTATGTTTTTTGAGGAAAACATTTCAGGAATTATCTCCATATAGTGGACTTCTATGGTGCCCGTGAGTTTGAACTTCCAAAATGCAGTTTCAATGCAGCTTTAATCTACTATACAAAAAAACTATGCATACAACTCACTGCAGTTTCCAACAGAACACTAGAAAGATTATCAGTTAAAGGAGTAGTTCACTTCCAGAACAAAAATGTACAGATAATGTACTCACCCCCTTGTTATGCAAGATGTTCATGTCTTTCTTTCTTTGTTTCTTCAATCGTAAAAAATTATGTTTTTTGAGGAAAACATTTCAGGAATTATCTCCATATAGTGGACTTCTATGGTGCCCGTGAGTTTGAACTTCCAAAATGCAGTTTCAATGCAGCTTTAAAGGTCTCTAAACGATCCCAGCCGAAGAAGACGGGTCTTATCTAGCAAAACGATCGGTCATTTTCTAAAAAAAAAAATAAAAAATGTATATACGTTTTAACCTCAAATACTCATTTTGTACAGCTATGCAACGCACATGCGTACTCTGTGCAGTCCCGTTCGAAACAGTTAGGGTAGGTCGAAAAACTCCTATCTCATTTTCTCCTCCAACTTCAAAATCGTCCTACATCGCTGCAGAAGTACCAACCCAGTGTTTACAAAGTGAACATGCAAAGAAGGTCAAATGCCCTTTATATAAAAAAAGGTAAAACAGCGATGTAGGACGATTTAGGACGAAATTGGAGGAGAAAATGAGATGGGAGTTTTTCGACATACCCAAACTGTCATGAACCGGAATGCACACAGTCCCGTTCGAAACAGTTAGGGTAGGTCGAAAAACTCCTATCTCATTTTCTCCTCCAACTTCAAAATCGTCCTACATCGCTGCAGAAGTACCAACCCAGTGTTTACAAAGTGAACATGCAAAGAAGGTCAAATGCCCTTTATATAAAAAAAGGTAAAACAGCGATGTAGGACGATTTAGGACGATTTAGAAATTGGAGGAGAAAATAAGATGGCAGTTTTTCAACATACCCAAACTGTCATGAACCGGAATGCACAGAGTTCACGCAGAGCTAGAAAAGACGAGCATTTGAGGTTAAAAAGTTTAATTTTTTATTATCATTCTTTTTAGAAAATGACCGATCGTTTCGCTAGATAAGACCCTTCTTCGGCTGGGATCGTTTAGAGCCCTTTGAAGCTGCATTTAAACTGCATTTTGGCAGTTCAAACTCGCGGGCACCATAGAAGTCCACTATATGGAGAAAATTCCTGAAATGTTTTCCTCAAAAAACATAATTTCTTTATGACTGAAGAAAGAAAGACATGAACATCTTGGATGACAAGGGGGTGAGTACATTATCTGTAAATTTTTGTTCTGGAAGTGAACTACTACTTTAATAAAGACTTATTTTTGTACGGTTCCTTGCTCAAGACTAAGGGCCAGTTTTACTAAACGGGGCAAATTAGTGCAAGAGTGCAATTCCAAAACAGCGCCAATGAGCGTGGAAATTTCTGCGGGTTATTTACTGACAATGTGCAAATTAAAGAACACA